GACTCAAGCCTCAGGTGAATGCTTGGGCGAATTTTCCTTTTTTACATATCCTGAAAATAAAAATATATTTTAGATAATTTGTCCTTGATCCTCTAAATTATATCATTTCGCATTGATATAATACATGATGACATGAAAGATAGTTACACAAATTGTAGCAACCTGTCTTACAAGAAAGAGGTTTTTCTTTTTTGTTGGAAGATTGCTCGCTTTCAGCGTATTCTTAAATTGTCTAAATAACTATAGACCATTCACTTTGCTATCACTGATATCAAAAATCACTAAGAAATCTGTAAACCACCATATCCTCAAATATTTGGAAGGTTTCAACATCTTGAGCGATCATCAATATGGCTTTCAGAAACAAAGATCGAAAGACGACCTTTTATCCTATGTCACCCATCACCCATATTTGGAATAACGCAATCGGGATACATGGAGAGTCACGAGCTTTTGCGCTCGATATTTCTAAGACCTTTGAACGTGTTTGCTCGCAAAACTTCGATTCTATGGTTTTTCGGATCATTTTTATGTATGACTCTTCAGCTTCCTGGAAGAATGTTTTCTGCAAGTGGCGATCGATGGATATCTTTCAAATACTTTTACCATCAACGCTTTTGTCGCCCAGAAATCCATATTTTCTCCAACTCTTTCTTCATCAACGACTTATTGTAATAAACCAAGAATCCAATATATTGCTTTGCTTACGATATCACATTTGTCTCGTCATTCCATTTTTACCGGCAGCAGGAAATTACATATCTTAATGAGGATCTTAAAGTAATTTCGAATTGGGGTGAAAGTAACCAGGTTCAATTCAATGCCGCAAAAACCCAGGCATCGGTTTCCAGGCATAAATGTCTCGGAACAGGATGAATTAATGTCAGATTAGACAATTCCACTTTCTGCCTCGATAAGTTTGTTGGGAGGTTGAAATGGGTACCGATATATATTGGCTCAATTATGTCGCAGGAATTGCAAAGATCCCTACTAGAAAGTTTGGAAAACTGTTCCGAAACAGAAAACTGTACACACCTCAGCAACTTTTGATGCTATATGAAGCTCATATCTTCTTCTTTGGAGTATAGTTCTCATGTAAGGAGCTCCGCCCCTAAGCATACCCTGAAGCTACTGGATTCCATCCAGAAAAGAATCATCCACCTGATTGGAGACCCGAACATCACTTGCAACCTTGATAGTCTGGAACATCGAAGGAAGGTTTGAGATTTGTCCCTCTTCTATAGATACTTTCACGAGAAGTGTTCAAGTGAAAGGCAACCTGTCTGGTGTGATGACGTCACAGTCTGTCTGAATCAGGGCAAGATCTACTATATGAATGCCGCATTACTTTTAGTGCGTAAATTCCATTGTTATCGGTTGGTTAACCCACTTCAAGATGTTCAATGATTTCTAACAGCAAATTTATAAATTTTGTGCTATTATTTACAGAAAATTATATATCATTAAAATGATTACTGGCAGTTAATTCTGCCGCTAGGTATTACTATTATAAATGTGTATTTAACTCGTTGGATTAAAACTTTCGTCTCCTAGGATAAAAATCATATTTGATATTTTATGCCTCGATTCAAAGTAATGCTCGACATGAGCATATGTTACTTCCACTATGAAAGCTCACTTGATTCCTAATCATTCATACAAAAATGTACTATAACTTTCAACCCTCGCATTTCGTGAAATATCCACTATTTAAATATTCTCGTTCACATTCAAAATCGCATAATCATCAGACGAAAGTCTTAAAATTACTCTTGAGAGCTACTTTCCAATGAAGCTATCAACTCAATTCCTAATTGTCATAAACACTTGATAAAGGGTTATTAAAACAGCAGTAATTCAAGTATGTAATAAATTTCTTTATTGAAATCAATCATTACCACTCTTTGAAGATATGAATTTTCAATGCCGTTAAACTATTTAAATTTCATTTCAAACGTTGTTTCAGACATTTTTTCTGAGTTTAGATGAAAAATATTGACCACTTTGACACATATTGACACACAAACACATGACCTACATACCAGAGCTGCAACACTCTTCCCGACGTGTTTTTCACCAATGAAATTTTCGTCATCGGGAGATGGACTATATTCATTCATAATTTTAACTACGCATATTTATACACGTTACTATTATAAGGGTGAAGAATAGAATGTTTGAAATCAGACACTGTTCATAATGCTCATGCCAGACTCAGATTTTTTCAGACTTTCCCAGGCATACAAAAGTCTGGTGTGATGTGCACTAACCATTATTGGCAATGATCGTTTCTTCTATTGGTATATTGAAAAATAATGGTTTATTCGATTGATGACCTATTTATTTTGTAGAAATTCATATTGAATTTGGTATAGAGAAAATAACTTTGGACTGATTTCTACTAAGTTTTTCATTCGTTACGACCGGTTTCGGTTTGTTGAACCATTTTAAAGTAAACTGATGCATTTTGACTAACAAGTCCTTAAATATACAGTTGATTTGCTTTTGATACCTGAAATAATAAATGTTACCTGTTTTATCAATGCCAATACTAAAACAATAACTATTTAACTTCTATATCATATTAAAATTACTAACTGATGATCAAAAAATCTACTTGTGGATTTCTCCAACTAGCAATTTCGACAACTACTTTGGGATCCAATGGAATCCAAAAACCTACTCGTAGAGAAATCAACGGGTTGGTTTTTGGATAATTAGTTGATAATTTTGTTATGTTATAAAAGTGGAATAGTTATTGTTTTGGTATTGGTATTGACAAATCAGGTAATATTTGTTATTTCATATATCTATTGCAAGTACTACAAGCACATTGACTGTATATTTTAGGACTTGTTTTTCAAAATGCATAAGTTTACTTGAAAATGGTTTGACAAACCGAAACCGGTCATAAATAATAAAAAGCTTAGTAAAAATCAGACAAAAGTTATTTACTTTATCCTATATTAGAAAATACTCATCTTTTCTGATGATTAACGAAAAAACAGATTTTTTTTCTCCAAATTAGTATATGTGCTGCGTGTTATTCCATACAAGTTTTTATAACTCGTTTAGTTTAATAGCAGTTCTCAAAGCTCATTTCATCAAACTTTTCAGTTTCTGTCGTCTTATTTTCAGAGCAACACTTCATGAGTAGATTTTGTTTGAAGGCCGTTGAATCAAGGAATTATCTCCTGACGTTTTGCTAACACGTGTGGCTAGCTTCTTTAGAGGTGCTCCACCTTCGATGTTGAAAGCAAACTGGTGTTTACTCGAATGGGTAACAGCAAAGCAGTGGTGTGTGCCCTTCAGTCCCTTTATGAACAGCTACCTTTGATATTCCCATTAGGGTGTGGTATCTGTTGAAAATGGTGACACCATCTCTTGCATCGCATTTTCAATTAATCTTAGGGTTTGCAATGTGGTTGAATGGGTCTTTCAGAATTCAAACTGTTCATGTGCTAGTAAATTTTTGTACCTGATTTTCACATGAACATGGACTAATTGATATATGATTTTGAGGGAAATACGGATCTCGACCAATTTTTGGTATCAAAATGATTTCACCATATTTCTATCGTGGATAATTTCCAAGAAGCAGTGAGTCTGTATTTAGCCTGAAATGGACGTGGTTTGTTCAACTGAAGAGAAATATGCTTCTTTTGCTCTATGAAGTATCTTCTTTGATTGTCTACCTTCTACTATATGCCAGAGTGATCCGTAGCCGGTTTTTAGGCTCTCGTATAATTTAGACCATTTCTTGTTTCTGTAATCAATAATAGTCTACTGAACTTCGTTAGTTTTATCATTCGCCCTGGCTCTGTCCCTCGGTGGTGAAGTTTTAGTAGATACTTCTCAAACGGTTTCTCCTGTCAATCAGAGATTCAATCTTCCGTGAAAATTTGGGATTTTGACAGTCCTCATTCTACAATGACGGTCGCTGCGAAAGCACTTGTAATTTTCTTTTTGAAATATACCTCTGCGGCATCAAGTATTTTTGTGGATTCATGTGGTTCTGGAATGTTCAGAGTATTTTCGAAGCGGACTTCCTCTGTCGACACTAAGATACTTGTGTTCTGAATAGAGTGATTATCCACCAGAATCACTGAATTGTAACCTGAGTTAACTGCAATATCATGTTCATCGAATCTATGGAATAGTTGTTGATGGGTTGATATCCCCGGTCCTACCACTTGATATCTATGATGATCGGCAAGAGCATGAAGTGATCTGTCGTTCTGATTGCTGATTCCACTCCACTGCATGTGTTTGGCATTAAAATTACGTCAACTATCGTGAGGCAATGTCTTTCTATTAATAGTTCACTAAGTAACCCCGACAGAGAGATATTTTGGGGGTACTGTCGGCTAATATCAATCTATGAACTCCTCTCCTCAGCGTCACTTCAATTCTAACAGAGTCTGTCCATCAAGTGATGAGCAATCTCCAAGGGACTCCTGCAAAAAAAGGGATTTTGCAGGAGCATGTTGTATACGACGTGTTCTCTTAAGAAGTTCTCTCTATCGAGCTTCTTCCGGATTATATTGTCAGTATTTCGGAATACATTATAAAGGGGATCTGTCAAATTCTGGCGTCTTGCCAGTAATAAGAGGAGGAATTGTATCAAGAGATGTTTAATCTGGTCTAGGGCAGCACAGAATTGCTCGCGGTTTAGATGTTCCAGCATGCGAGACCCATCATCTAGCTGAATTTTTCCTTGCAGGCATGCTGGTGGGCATGCATTCATGCTGAAGGGTTTTCTTAGGGGCTGTCGGTATTTCAGAGAATGCCAAGTAACCGCGGAAAGCAGCTGTCTGTTTCTCCCTGCAGTTGAAGCACCTCGCAAGGGATTGACGTGGATTTTCACATTCTAGTGGAAATATTGATAATTATTGTTCCAGTAATACAGTAATTCACAATTCTCATAGCTCTTTCGTTTTCAACTTTCCGTTACTTTAAATCAAAAATATGTTACTCAGTTAATAATTGTATTTTTATAGGATCCTCCAAAATACGAATATGGATACAATATTGCAAATGACCAAGGTGACGGACAAGGAAAACAGGAGCAACGGGATGGAATCCATGCATCAGGAAGGTAAAGCTTTGTGTTAAGGTTTTTTATTTACCATCAGTTTTTGTCAAACATATCTAATTTTCCTCTAGAAATAATCCTCCGACAAAAATTGTAATCAAGACTATTCTGATCAGTTAATGTCTCATTTAATAATTTTTGTGCAAATGATATGGAGATATGCATTTGGAATATGCTTGTTCATGAAAGCACCTGCCAATAATATTATTTTTCATTAGTTATCCATTTTAGCATATGATCAGTGAAATTCAACTACGTTTTTTTTTTGGAAATAGGGGGAACACAAACTTCCAAAAATTCTAGAACATCCATTCAAAGCTCAAATTCATCTCAGAAAAAGAACTCTTTGACTTTCTCAGAAACAATCATTTCAAGAAACTCAAACACGTAATGAAAGTGGAATGGTTTCATATTCCCATTTAGAGGTCGAAGCAATATATAGTCTTGTTCAGTGAATAAACTTACCCTTTACTCATTAGCCGGCGGTAAATCAAACATTACATACCTGATACCGTAATGTGTTGCCTAGCAACACTCTTTGTTTCTGAAAGCAATGTCGTTTCAGTTTCAACTATCAACCAATTTCCCCTCAAAAATGATAATTAGAAATTTTACGGAATTCTACACTACATACTATTATAGGTACAATATTTTTGCCGCATACCACAACCATATACGATTATTATAAAAGTAGTTGCCAGAATTCACTGTCAACTAGTTAAACAGGTAATGTGTCCCTGAGGACCTGAATAATTATAATAATAATAGGTCAGCTGACCAACTTTCGGAAATCTAACATTTCAGTGAAGTTTCTATTGTTCTATGAAATCTTTCGATCATTATTTTCAAGGTAGGATGGTAGGGTGTAGTTCAATAATATTGGAATACCATAATTTTCGAAAATTCTTTAAATAAAGAGCTCTTAAACTTTCTTCATTGATCAGAAGTGATTATCTAGAAGGCACTCCAAATTTCGTGATCCAACCATCATAAAATGTTCTTTCTACTGTTTTCGCCCACATATAAGTCACTGGAAATGCTTGAACTCAACTAGAATATCTGTGTTTATATTTGAGACAGAAAGAAAAATGGTCCTAGTATATCGATATTTAGGTATATTGTTTCTGAAATTTTATATCATCAACATACCTATTATTCTTAGAGTTATGGCATAGAATGCAATTTTGAACCAATATTCTGATATTTTTTCCGGTTCTTGGCCAAATATATTTAGTTTTGATAAAAAGTAAAACTGTAGCATCTGGCGTAGAATTAATACCAAACAAACAATTTGCCCAGAGTATTGTTGCTTTGATGCTCGAATGAGATATATCGGAAAATCAATTGAATCAGTTGATACATCTCAAAATAACTGTAAATTACTTTCAGTGGATTTTATCAAAATGAGTGATGGACGGTAGCCGGTCGGTTCGACGTGGATGCTTTGTTCACTCACTCAAATTGACCGCCGTGTTGGTCGCTGGTTCAAGCCCCAGGCTGAACGATCAATTTTCACTTGTTATCGTCCAACCCGTATTAGGAATCATACGTTAAAACGTGAGACCTCGTTAGTCCTCAGCTCGTATAAGTTTCGCTTTCTGAGGGTTGTCGTTCGTAGGGGTGCGACAGCTGGTTAACGAAAAAACAGATTTTTTTTAAACAGATTGATAAGAGATGATAGTTTTTTGAGTTCGTAAATGTTTGTGATCCATGAAGATTGTGAATTATCGTCCTTCAAGAATAACATTTTTTTTTAGATTCATATATAACTTGTTCGCGATAATGTGTACTCTATTTCATTTGATTCTTGGATAGTGTCGACGAGAAAAATTTCACTAGCGAGAACAGTTTCTTGTCGAGTATTCTAAACGTTGTCTATTACATTTATCATTCCCTTTTAAAAATGATTTCTGCAGTCTTCAGAATGGATGTTAGGAAAAAATAATAATCCTCAAAAATCTTCTTGATGAATTCATATCTTTTGGTTTCTCATAATTTAGTGTGGCTTCAACTTAAACACGCTTAATGCAATTTACCTAATCCAGCTACAGGTATTAGCACTCCAAACTACCTGAGCTGTGATATCCAGTCATCAGAGATTACCTCGGGATATATAAACCTCTGAAGAAGCTAGCCATTCGTGCCAGCGAAACGTCAGGAAGAAATTCCAACAATCGACAGTTTACAAACCCGAAAAATAATGACAATGAATACATCGGCCTCGAAAGCCTTCAAAATTTTGTCCTTTTGGGGTCCTTGACAGCACATCAAGTTTGACATCAAAATGGTTGTCATATCCAACCAAAGCTCAAACAGAAACTCTTAGTGATGGGTTCAACAAACTACAAACAGAAACTCAATGACCTCAAAAAAAAGCAAAATTAGTAACGTGCAAATTTATAACTTATGGAATAATCACCACTTGTGTCAACTAATAATAGAAACAATAGAAACAATAGAAACTTTATCAGCGTCTCAAAAGTAGAAATTATACAGTACAATCAAAAGTAACACTCCATTGTGAGATTTTCACTGGACAGTTCACAAAACCGCGACACGTATTTCGCTTTGCAATAACTTTTTCCAGTGATTCCATACTCTGTATGAAAACACTTGAATAAGTTATTTGTTTCTTCAAGTATCGACCAATTCCATCACAACAGAAATCAACTTTAATCGTTAAATAGACAAATCTACAACCGCACGCAACATACGATACAATTGCTTTGAAACATTTTCTAATCCTTGTAATAGCAATAATGATAATACATTTATTTCGAAAAGGTGTACACCTTGTGTATCAACGACTCATTGGAAAAAACAAGAATCCAATATAATGCTTTGCTAACGACAGCACACTTGTGTCGTCATTCCATTTGGATTCCAGGACATCGGCTACGGAGGCATATCTTCAGCAGCAGCATGAGCTTGCATATTTTAATGAGTATCTAGAAGTGATTTCACATTGGGGTGAAAGTAACCAGGTTCAATTCAATACTACAAAAACCCAGGCATCGGTTTCCTCCAAAAAGATAAATGTCTCCGAACCGGATATAATAATGTCAGGTCAGACAATTCAGCTTTCTGCTTCGATAAGTTTGTTGGGGGTTGAAATGGACACCAATATCTCTTGGCACAATCATGTCACTGGAATTGCAAAGGCTGCTTCTCAAAAGCTTGGAACACTGTTTCGAATCAGAAAACTATACACACCTCAGAAACGTTTGATGCTTTATAAAGCTCAATTCAGACATTCTTTGGAATATTGTTCTCATGTATGGAGCTCTGTCACCGAACATACCCTGAAATTGCTGCATTCCATCCAGAAAAAGTCACTCGCCTGATTGGAGACGCAAACATTACGTGCAACCTTGACAGCCTGGAACATCGAAGAAAGGTTGGAGATTTGTATCTCTTCTATATATATTTTCACGGGAGATCTTCAAGTGACTTGGCACATTTGATTCCACCAAGAGCGGTAAATATCAGAAATACGCGACGGACTGTGGCTGCTCATCGTTTTGAGGTTCAACTCAGTATACTTCGAACTCAACTGTTTGAGAACTTTTACATTCGACGAACTCCGATTTTGTGGAATAAACTTCCTGAGAACGTTTTTCCAAATGGATTTAATCTTCAGCGATTCGAATCCAATGTGAATCGCTACTTTCTTACAGGCACCGCTCTGAGAGCGCCTTAAGGATTTTCCTGTAGTGTTTGTGTTTTGTCTTAAAAAGAAAACAAAAAATATAAATATAATGCATTAAAACTCAACGAACAGAAAATAAAATTTCTGTAATCTCTTAAGGGTGAAAGTCATGACAGAAATCCATAGTAATGAATAATTTTACAGAAGATATCCACTGAGTAGATGCCAAAATTCATGAATTATTTCAATAGGTTTCTTCGAAATGCTAAAAATGTTAATTTCGTTTACCATAATCTCGTTTATTTTTTAATCTAAATGAGTGCTCACTGTCGTTACTTTTTAACATTTTTCTATAGCGAGAATCTGATTTCACTGTTATGTGAGTGACACTTTACAGATAGAATTCTGTTCATATTCCAAAAAAATCTTGCAAATCGGAATATAGTCATACTTATATTCATCACT